ATCCATCATGTCCTGAAACGGGGATAAAAATGGGGGTAAACAAGGAGATAAAGGAACAGCTCCGGGATATCACAGCCTGGGATGAAATAACTGCGTGGGCCTCAGGAAAATCTGCTTTTGGTGGGATTTGCTGCAGCTTTCTGCAAGATTCCAGCCCTGCAGCTCCAGGTGGAGTTCCCAGAATGCCGGGAGGATTTGTGGGGACAGCCCAGCAGGTCTGAGCCCACAGCTCCTGTTTAAAGCCCATGGAAGGTGACCCTGCCGGGCTCCCACTCCCAAAGGAAAGGGTGGGATGCAGACAGCCCTTCCCAAAGCCAAGGGGGCTTTTCAGATCCTGAGGGATGGACAGTGTGCCTGGCAGATCCCTGCAGATCCCTTCCTTGGGGACCAGAGGAGATCACTCAGCACCATCTCAGTGGTTCTCAGTGATCCCAGAACCATCCCAGTGATTCCTAATTCATCCCAGAGCTCCCTCGAGATCCCAGAACCATCCCATTGATTCCCAGCAATCCCAGCAGTTCCTAGTGACCCCAAAACCATCCCAGAGCTCCCTGGAGATCCCAAAACCATCCCAGTGATCCCTGGAGATCTCAAAACCATCCCAGTGGTCCCTGAACCATCCCAGCAGTTCCTGGAGATCCCAGAACCATCCCAGCAGTTCCTGGAGATCCCAGCACCATCCCAGTGGTTCCCAGTGATCCCAGCATCATCCCAGAGCTCCCTGGAGATCCCAAAACCATCCCAGTGATCCCTGGTGATCCCTGAACAATCCCAGTGATCCCTGGTGATCCCACCACCATCCCAGTGGTTTCCAGTGATCCCAGAACCATCCCAGTGATTCCTGGTGATCCCAGCAGTTCCTGGAGATCCCAGCACCATACCAGTGGTTCCCAGTGATCCCAGAACCATCCCAGTGATTCCAGGAGATCTCAAAACCATCCCAGTGGTCCCTGAACCATCCCAGCAGTTCCTGGAGATCCCAAAACCATCTCAGAGCTCCCTGGAGATCCCAGCACCATCCCAGTGGTTCCCAGTGATCCCAGCATCATCCCAGAGCTCCCTGGAGATCCCAAAACCATCCCAGTGATTCCTGGAGGTCCCAGAACCATCCCAGTGATTCCTGGTGATCCCAGCAGTTCCTGGAGATCCCAGAACCATCCCAGAGCTCCCTGGAGATCCCTGAACAATCCCAGTGATCCCTGGTGATCCCACCACCATCCCAGTGATCCCAGAACCATCCCAGAGCTTCTTGAAGATTCCAGAACCATCTCAGTGATCCCAGAACCACCCCAGAGCTCCCCGAAGATCCCAGTGATGATCTCCCACCAGAAATGCGAACCTCCCCATTTCCCCCCCTAATTTCACACCCAATTTTAATTTGAAATTTGAAATTTGAAGGAGCAGGGCACTCACAGGGACCAGGAACTTCTTGACCTCCTCCATGGCGTGGGCCATGAGGGCGTAGGCCTCGCACGGGGGCCCGAACACCTCGATGAACACGTGCAGGTCCATGTGCAGGTGCGCGTACTTGGGGTCGCCCCCCTTGCGCAGCTCTTCCTCCTGCAGAACCCCAAAAATTCAGAAAAAATGGAATTTGTAAGGAGTTTTTAATTTTATAGGAATTAGGAATAAGAATTGATAGGAAACCATTTCATATGGCGTTGTATATTTGCGTGTAAACACTGAGATATATTGATATTTGGGATATCCCCCTTTGTGCAGCTCCTCCTCCTGCAGAAACCCCACAAATTCATAAAAAATGGAATTTGTAAGGAGTTTTTAATTTTATAGGAACTGGGAATGAGAATTGATAGGAAACCATTTTATATGGTTTTGAAATTTTATAGGAATTGGGAATGAGAATTGATAGGAACCATTTTATATGGCGTTGTATATCTGTGTATAAACACTGAGATATATTTGTATTTGGGATATCCCCTTTGTGGAGCTCCTCCTCCTGCAGAACCCCACAAATTCAGAAAAAATGGAATTTGGAAAGAGTTTTTTAATTTTACAGGAATTAGGAATGAGAATTGATAGGAAACCATTTTATATGGCGTTGTATATCTGCGTGTAAACACTGAGATATATTTGCATTTGGGATCCCTTCCTTTACAGAGCTCCTCCTCCTGCAGAAACCCCACAAATTCATAAAAAATTGAATTTTTAAGGAGTTTTTAAATTTTATAGGAAGCTTGCACGGTTTTGTACATCTGCATGTAAAGACAGAGGTAAGATTTTGTATTTTTTAATGTTAAAATATTTAAATTTAAAAGTTATATTTTCATTTTTGTTTTTATTTTAATTATTTTATAAATATTTTATTTTAAAATCTAATCTATTATTTTTTATTTTATTTATATTTATTTTTATTTGGGATCCCCTCCCCCTGAATTTTATAAGAAGCTTGCATTGTTTTGTACATCTCTGTGTAAACACAGAGGTAAGATTTTTATTTTTAAATTTTANTCAGATCCTGAGGGATGGACAGTGTGCCTGGCAGATCCCTGCAGATCCCTTCCTTGGGGACCAGAGGAGATCACTCAGCACCATCTCAGTGGTTCTCAGTGATCCCAGAACCATCCCAGTGATTCCTAATTCATCCCAGAGCTCCCTCGAGATCCCAGAACCATCCCATTGATTCCCAGCAATCCCAGCAGTTCCTAGTGACCCCAAAACCATCCCAGAGCTCCCTGGAGATCCCAAAACCATCCCAGTGATCCCTGGAGATCTCAAAACCATCCCAGTGGTCCCTGAACCATCCCAGCAGTTCCTGGAGATCCCAGAACCATCCCAGCAGTTCCTGGAGATCCCAGCACCATCCCAGTGGTTCCCAGTGATCCCAGCATCATCCCAGAGCTCCCTGGAGATCCCAAAACCATCCCAGTGATCCCTGGTGATCCCTGAACAATCCCAGTGATCCCTGGTGATCCCACCACCATCCCAGTGGTTTCCAGTGATCCCAGAACCATCCCAGTGATTCCTGGTGATCCCAGCAGTTCCTGGAGATCCCAGCACCATACCAGTGGTTCCCAGTGATCCCAGAACCATCCCAGTGATTCCAGGAGATCTCAAAACCATCCCAGTGGTCCCTGAACCATCCCAGCAGTTCCTGGAGATCCCAAAACCATCTCAGAGCTCCCTGGAGATCCCAGCACCATCCCAGTGGTTCCCAGTGATCCCAGCATCATCCCAGAGCTCCCTGGAGATCCCAAAACCATCCCAGTGATTCCTGGAGGTCCCAGAACCATCCCAGTGATTCCTGGTGATCCCAGCAGTTCCTGGAGATCCCAGAACCATCCCAGAGCTCCCTGGAGATCCCTGAACAATCCCAGTGATCCCTGGTGATCCCACCACCATCCCAGTGATCCCAGAACCATCCCAGAGCTTCTTGAAGATTCCAGAACCATCTCAGTGATCCCAGAACCACCCCAGAGCTCCCCGAAGATCCCAGTGATGATCTCCCACCAGAAATGCGAACCTCCCCATTTCCCCCCCTAATTTCACACCCAATTTTAATTTGAAATTTGAAATTTGAAGGAGCAGGGCACTCACAGGGACCAGGAACTTCTTGACCTCCTCCATGGCGTGGGCCATGAGGGCGTAGGCCTCGCACGGGGGCCCGAACACCTCGATGAACACGTGCAGGTCCATGTGCAGGTGCGCGTACTTGGGGTCGCCCCCCTTGCGCAGCTCCTCCTCCTGCAGAACCCCACAAAACCATAAAAAATGGAATTTGTAAGGAGTTTTTTAATTTTATAGGAATTGGGAATGAGAATTGATAGGGAACCATTTTATATGGCGTTGTATATCTGTGTGTAAACACTGATATATTTGTATTTGGGATCCCCTCCTCCTGCAGAACCCCACAAATTGATAAAAAATGGAATTTGTAAGGAGTTTTTAATTTTATAGGAACTGGGAATGAGAATTGATAGGAAACCATTTTATATGGTTTTGAAATTTTATAGGAATTAGAAATAAGAATTGATAGGAAACCATTTTATATGGTGTTGTATATCTGCGTGTAAACACTGAGATATATTTGTATTTGGGATATCCCCTTTACAGAGCTCCTCCTCCTGCAGAAACCCCACAAATTCAGAAAAAATGGAATTTGTAAGGAGTGTTTTAATTTTATAGGAACTGGGAATGAGAATTGATAGGAAACCATTTTATATGGCGTTGTATATTTGCGTGTAAACACTGAGATATATTTGTATTTGGGATCCCTTCCTTTACAGAGCTCCTCCTCCTGCACAAACTCCACAAATTTATTAAAAATGGAATTTGGAAAGAAGCTTTTAATTTTATAGGAATTAGGAATGAGAATTGATAGGAACCATTTTATATGGCGTTGTATATCTGCGTGTAAACACTGAGATATATTTGTATTTGGGATATCCCCTTTGTGCAGCTCCTCCTCCTGCAAAACCCCACAAATTTATTAAAAATGGAATTTGGAAAGAGGTTTTTAATTTTATAGGAATTGGGAATGAGAATTGATAGGAAATCATTTTATATGGTGTTGTATATCTGTGTGTAAACACTGAGATATATTTGTATTTGGGATCTCCCCTTTGTGCAGCTCCTCCTCCTGCAAAACCCCACAAAATCATAAAAAATGGGATTTGTAAGGAGTTTTTTAAATTTTATAGGAACTGGGAATGAGAATTGATAGGAAACCATTTTATATGGCGTTGTATATCTGTGTGTAAACACTGAGATATTTGTATTCGAGATCCCTTGCTTTGTGGAGCTCCTCCTTCTGCAGAAACCCAACAAATTCAGAAAAAATGCAATTTGGAAAGAAGTGTTTAATTTTATAGGAATTGGGAATGAGAATTGATAGGAAACCATTTTATATGGCGTTGTATATCTGCATGTAAACACTGGGATATATTTGTATTTGGGATCTCCCCTTTGCGCAGCTCCTCCTCCTGCAGAATCCCCACAAAATCATAAAAAATGGAATTTGGAAAGAAGTTTTTTAATTTTATAGGAATTGGGAATGAGAATTGATAGGAAACCATTTTATATGGTTTTGAAATTTTATAGAAATTAGGAATGAGAATTGATAGGAAACCATTTTATATGGCGTTGTATATCTGCGTATAAACACTGAGATGTATTTGTATTTGGGATCCCTCCCTTTGTGGAGCTCCTCCTCCTGCAGAAACCCCACAAATTTATAAAAAATGGAATTTGTAAGGAGGTTTTTAATTTTATAGGAATTAGGAATAAGAATTGATAGNAGCTCCTCCTCCTGCAGAAACCCCACAAATTTATAAAAAATGGAATTTGTAAGGAGGTTTTTAATTTTATAGGAATTAGGAATAAGAATTGATAGGAAACCATTTTATATGGCGTTGTATATCTGTGTGTAAACACTGAGATATATTGATATTTGGGATATCCCCCTTTGCGCAGCTCCTCCTCCTGCAGAAACCCCACAAATTCATAAAAAATGGAATTTATAAGGAGTTTTTAAATTTTATAGGAATTAGGAATAAGAAACGATAGGAAACCATTTTATATGGCGTTGTATATCTGTGTGTAAACACTGAGATATATTTGTATTTGGGATCTCCCCTTTGCGCAGCTCCTCCTCCTGCAGAAACCCTACAAATTCATAAAAAATGGAATTTGGAAAAAAGTTTATAATTTTATAGGAATTGGGAATGAGAATTGATAGGAAACCATTTTATATGGCGTTGTATATCTGTGTGTAAACACTGAGATGTATTGATATTTGGGATCTCCCCTTTGTGCAGCTCCTCCTCCTGCAAAAACCCCACAAAATCATAAAAAATTGAATTTGTAAGGAGTTTTTTAATTTTATAGGAATTAGGAATGAGAATTGATAGGAAACCATTTTATATGGTGTTGTATATCTGCGTGTAAACACTGAGATATATTTGTATTTGGGATCCCTTCCTTTACAGAGCTCCTCCTCCTGCAAAACCCCACAAATTCAGAAAAAATGGAATTTGGAAAGAGGTTTTTAATTTTATAGGAATTGAGAATGAGAATTGATAGGAACCATTTTATATGGTGTTGTATATCTGTGTGTAAACACTGAGATATATTGGTATTTGGGATCTCCCCTTTACAGAGCTCCTCCTCCTGCAGAAACCCCACAAATTCATAAAAAATTGAATTTTTAAGGAGTTTTAAAATTTTATAGGAAGCTTGCACGGTTTTGTACATCTGCATGTAAAGACAGAGGTAAGATTTTGTATTTTTTAATGTTAAAATATTTAAATTTAAAAGTTATATTTTCATTTTTGTTTTTATTTTAATTATTTTATAAATATTTTATTTTAAAATCTAATCTATTATTTTTTATTTTATTTATATTTATTTTTATTTGGGATCCCCTCCCCCTGAATTTTATAAGAAGCTTGCATTGTTTTGTACATCTCTGTGTAAACACAGAGGTAAGATTTTTATTTTTAAATTTTATTTTTAAAGTTTTTATTTCATTTTTTATTATTTATTTATAATTATGTCTTTTTATTCTTTTTATTTTATTCTTTTATATTTAATTTATATTATTTTACTTTTTATTTATTATATTTTATTTCTTTATTTTATTTTTAATTTTTTTTCAAGCTACCTTAAAGATATTTCTCTTTTTCAGGCTGTTTTGCAGTTATTTAAGAAGCTACAATCTGAAAATATAAAACCTTTTTTGTGCTGCTCAAGCAAAATCAGAATTAAGCTACAGCTCTGCTCAAAAGAAGCAGGAAAAACTAAAAATAATATTTTTCCCATTTTTAAAAATATTTTTTTGCTGTTTAAAAACCCCTCCTGGTACTTTGTGATTCAAAATTATTCAACATTTTTGTTGAATATTACCAGCAAAATATCAAATTTTTTGTTGAAAAATTACCAGGAACACATTGCTCCAACATCCCCACTGAACCAGAAGAATTTCAAGATTTCAGAGCAGCTAAAAAAAGGAATTTTTATCATTTTATAGAGAGGAAAAAAATCCTTTTAATGCATGGCTCTTGAGGAGAATAATCCTTATTTTAACAAATTTTAAATTACTTTTTAATTAAAGTTTTTTCTAGTTTAATTTTGAATCAAAATGCTTGGAGAGCTGTTAATTCTCACCGAAATAAATGGAATTTTGGTGTTTTTCTTTACCTTGGCTTTGTCCCTCATGGAGCCTTTACCCAGTACAGAGATTTTTGCACCAGTTTCTTCCTGAAGTCTTTTAATGGTGTTGCCTTGAGGTCCCAAAATCTTCCCAACAAAGTTAAACTGGAAATTAAGGAAAAAAAAAAAAA